CTCCCTTCCCCTCCCCTTCCCTTCCCTCCCCTCCCCTGCCCCCTGCTTATCTCTTTTTGTTCTCCCCTCGAGACAGAACATATCATGAAGGCCAGACTGACCTCAGAATCACTGTGTAGCCCAGAGTGACGGTAAACTTTGGTTCCTCCTGCCTCTACCTCTTGAGTGCTGGGATCATAGGCACACACCAGCATACCTGGTTTCTTCAGTGCTGAGGCTGGAACTCAGGGCTTCGTGCCTGCTATCAGCTGAGCTCCACCTCCAGCCCCAGTGCATGATTTTTCTTTTGCCCCTGTGCCTATGATGAACACTTTTTCTTGCACATCTTTGAAACACCTAAGCAGAGGGTTGGGGGTTGGGGGGCTGGGGGCACTGGGAGGCTGCGGGGCTGAGGGTAGGCAGGTGAGGATTTAGCAGAGGGGAGTCTAGGAGTTCCAAAATATATGCAGGAACCAGGGGGGTAAGGCAAACGCTGTGAATTCGATGGCAGGGGCCTTTGCATTACCTATGCATTACAGCTCTACCCCATCAAAAAATACAGTGCATGGGAAAATAAATCTCTACTGGGCCTCCTGGAGGAAGCTAACAAAAGCCATATCCGTTTCCTATTGCTGTTTGTAAGAAATCATTGTAAATATAGAGGCTTAAATCATTCTCATATAGATAGAGGCTGGATATCTAAGGTTGCCATGTCAACAGGGCTGTGTTCCTTTGGGTGGCTTCAAGGAAGAATCCATTTTCTTCCCATTTCAGCTCTGGGAAGTTTCATTCCTTGGCTTGGAGGCTCACACCACTGATTTTATTTTTTGTAATGCTGAATATATTTATTTGACTGAAAATGATCAGAAGTTACTTTAATTTAGTAACAATTAATTGAATCTTATTGCCTCTGTCTTGATTTGAACTGCTTTTTATTTTTGTCCCATCTTGAGTCACTCCGACCTCTTGATTCTGCTGTTACATCCCCTGTTCACTGATCCGTCTTTCTAAGTGCCCTTGCCATCACATTGGGCTAACCCAAATAATTCAGGCTAGTTTCCTCGTCTCAGAATCCTTAATATAACCATATCTGCATGATTCCTTTTCTGTTTCAGACAACACAATAGAAGGTTCCGGAGCTTTGGCTGTGGGTGTCTTTGTGGGTTCCTCTATCCAGCCTACCACAGGACCTGGAAGCTTCTCTGGGGAAGCCTCTGTCCTCTGTGTTTCTCTGGGGCAGTGAAACTTCTGGGGAGGGGGACAGAAACATCTAAGGAAGAGCTTTGGACTGGACTAAAGCCTGTGTGGGAGTTGGCGTGACAGAGTGAAGTCCGGAGAATGCGGCTTTGAGGAGCACTCTAGCAGGAGCACTCTGCCAGGACCAGGCAGTTGAGGGTCCTCTGGAGTTCCATTTTGCTCTGGACACAGAAAATGCTGAGAAAGCTACAAATTCAGTGACATGCTGACCGAAAAGAGACTGAAATGGGAAGAAAACAGTGCCACTTTCAGATCGAGCATTGTGGCACACCCCTGTAATACTAGCATTTGGGAGGTGGAGGCAGAAGGATCAAGGTTCAAGGTCATCCTCAGCTACGTAGTGAGTTTAAGGCCAGCCAGGGGGACGTGAGGCCCTGTCTGAGTATTTCCATTGCTGTGACAAAACACCATGACCAAAAGCCACTTGGGGAGGAAAGGGTTTATTTCATCTTACAACTCTCAGGTTATACTCCATCACTGTGGGAAGTCAGGGCAGAAACTGAAGCAGAGGCCGTGGAAGAACTCTGCTTACTGGCTTGCTCCCCCGTGCTTGCCCACCTTGCTCTGTTATAGCACCCAGGACCACCAGCCCAGTGGTCTGGACCCTCCCACATCAATCATTAATCAAGAAAATGCTCCACAGGCCACTTATGGAGACATTTTCTCAGTTGAGGTTCCTTCCTGTTGGATGACTCTAGCTAACCAAAAAATGAAACCAAACCAAATTATTCTCAAACAATAACTACCTCCAGGGAGTGACTGGGAGGAGAAACTGAGTTAATATATTCAAACTGCTTAAGACGTCGCCCGGCACGTAATCAGCACTCAGTGTTGGGTCTCCCTGGCTGTTCAATAGGGTCCCGTCCTCGTCCTTCCTCTCCAGCCCTGCCCCTGGACCACAGGACACAAGCAGATTGAAAACTCAGCAGACACAGGAAGAATCAGGTCGGCAAGTCGCCTGCACTTGCAGAGGGCAGCATCCTGATATCACCTGTGATCATCTTTCTCTTTTACTGCTCTTACAGAGGGAGAAGAGCCCAAAGCAGAGCCTCTGATTGGCTGCTTTCATTTCAGTTTCTCATCGGGTTCTGATTTCTGGGAAGGGAAGGGGACATAAGGCATTTAACTAAAACAGAAGTGTTAGGAACGGAGAGGTGGAGGCAGAGAAGAAGAGAGAGGGACCAAGGTGGGAGAAGAGAGTCTTTTAATTATCTGGGATTCTTTGCAAAGTCCTGGAGGTGGAGGGCCTTGGAGCCGGGGGAGGGACAGACCGTGTGAAGCTGGACTACTGCTGATGAAGAGCACATTCCATTTAAGAAGTTGCACACAGTCAGACCGTTTAATTATTGTTCCTGGTGGGGCCTACTGAAGTGACCCTTGGGGAGGCACTTCTCTGCCTGCACACTTGGATGGTCTGGTCTCTCCACTCGCTCCCCCTCCTCAGGTAGGTGGCAGGACCTGCTGAAGCCCGCTCCCTTTAGAGCTGTCCTCAGAGCCCATTCTTCTCTTGTGTGGAGGGCTGGAGTGGCATCATCTGCTTCTGCAGTTCCTGCTGCGCTTGCTCCTGTTTTCCTCTATGCCTGGGAAGGGAAGCAGACATCTGGGTTTGCAGCCTCCTGTCCAGGTCTGACATGGTTCCGGCTCTCCCCTCACTCTGTGACTAGCCACCTGCTCTCTGCCCCCAAATGGCAACTGTTCCTTCCTGGAGCTGAGAGCCCCGAGAAGGATTATGGGAGAAGCCTCCCATAGGGGATAAAGGGACTAAACTCTGATCTGGAAGAGAAGTCCTGGGTTTGAGCCTCAGTGCTATCCCAGCCTGGGTGGGTGACCTGGAGTAAGACCCCGATCCTCTGGGCGGGGGGGTGCCCACCTGCTCTTCAGGTCCTGAACTGTATCCGGCAGTGGCTGGCCCAAGGTCTCTGGCAGGAGGGTAGTGACAGCACTGGCGGCCACAGGGACAGCGCCGAAGATGAAGAGAGGCATGGAGGGGTAGAACTCGGCAGTCATGCTCACCAGCGGGCTCACGATGCTGCCCACCCGGGCCATGGTGCTGCCCATGCCCAGGCCTGTCTGCCTGTGGTCAGGTGGGTGTTGGTTAGAGCTCTGGTGTGGGTACCAGTGGTCACATTCGGAGCAGGGTAGTTCTGACAGCCCTGGACATCCCTGTGCTTCCTCTTTCTTACTGGACTAGCAAATGATTCCACATTTTTGTGTTTTGCTGCTGGTTGTGCTGGACAGCATAGCCAGGACCTTGCACTAGCCAGACGCTTTACTACTGACCTGCATCCCCAGGCCGTTGTGGTGACTTTTAAAACAAAAAGGGAAATCGAGAAGGGCTGTCGTCAGAGAACCGGGGACTTGAAACTGAGTTCTGCCTCTGTCCGTAAGCCCCTATGTGACTTTCAGCCAATCGCTTCACATCTCCAGGCTTCAGTTTCCAACTGACACTTGAGACCATTGGGTAAGACCAGTGATTCTTAGGTTACCATGATCTGGAATGTTTTTGTTTTCCTTTTCTCTTTCTGGCTGTGCTAGGGATGGAATTCAGGACCTCACACCCACAAGACGGTTGCTCTGCCCCTGAGCTACACCCCAGCACACCTGCATCCCTTATGAATCATAGCTGTCTCCATCTCACAGAGACCTATGAGTTAGGATCCTCAGGGGGAGGAATCTGGAGGCTGCCTGTTGCTTGTGTGTTAAGAACATTCATTCTCTATGAGGGACTGGAGAGATGGCTCAGCCGCTAAGAGGGGTACTGGCTGCTCCCATAGAGGATCAGGTTCAGTTCTCAGTACCCACAAGGCAGCACATAACCATCTGTAACTCTAGTTGTAGGGAATCTGATGTCCACTTCTGTGCTCTGTGTGTACTAGGCATGCTCATGGTATGTATACATACATGCAGGCAAAACATTCATACATGAAATAAAAATAAATATATCTAAAAGTAAATCCAGCTAACCAAGAACATCTTCTATGAGAGAAAGGTTAAAAACATTGACCCAGGAGGCAGCTGCATTGGGGTCTGGTGCAGGCTTCATGGCTAGCTGTGTGACCTTGCAGAAGTCACCTAACTTCTGTGAGTCTGTTTTCACATTCGTAGAAGGAGAATGATAGTGCCTACTTTGATCAGCTATGAGAAATAAGTGAGTTAATATTTGTGCAAAGATTAAGAAGATGCTTCATACACAGAACACACTTTGTTTGGAAACCCTTAAAGGCATGGCATAATATATATCCAAGATGCCTCATCCCAGCGCTCTGACCTCTCAGGTCTTTGACGTTTCATGTGATTTTGCATTTGATTCTTAAAGTAGACTTACTATTTATTTCTTAATGTCTCTCCCATCTCGCTATAAAGTGGTGCTGAGTTCATTCCTATGGCTGGCATATTGTCAGGAGTGGTTCTTTTTTTTTTTAATATATATTTTATTTATCTACTTGTGTGAGGGTGTCAGGTCCCCTGCAAGTGGATTACAGACAGCTGTGAGCCACCATGTGGGTGCTGGGAATTGAACCCAGGTCCTCTGGAAGAGCAACCAGTGCTCTTAACCAGGTTGCTCTTAACCACTGCGCCATCTCTCCAGCCCAGGAGTGGTTCTTGTAGGAAGTTGCATGCATGTTTGTGTTTTTAGTTTCAGATGTGCTGGTTGGTTTAAGATGGAGTTTAGATATGGTCACAGCTTGTAACTTGTGCTCTGAAATCTTCAGTTCATTCATTGCCTCTGAGATGTAGCTCTCTACCCTGTTCTAGATGGTGACTCCTTCTAGATCTCCTTTAGGGTTAGGTGGGGGCTGGACAGCTATATCTCTGTCAACCAGACCCCGACATGTGTAACTGAGTGAGTGGTTCCTGGTTCCTATATATCCTGCCCTGATTAATGTGTTTTTTTTTTTTTTTGGGGGGGGGGTTGTGTACTGAGCTATGCTTTGGGGTTCTGGCTTTAGTGTGTGCAGGGGACTGTTTTTCCCTAGACCTCCCCTCCGTGCCCTGGGCTCCCACTCACCGGATCACTGTGGGATACAGCTCTCCGGTGTACAGGAAGATGCAGTTGAAAGAGGCAGCCAGGCAGCCCTTCCCTAGCACAGCCAGGGAGGTGCGTATGATCGTCTGGTCTAGAGAGAAAGGAATGGGGAGAGCGGGAGCATAGGAATTGAGGCTGGAGGTACTGGCTTCTTTCCTTCTGAGAAGTTGGGCTGTGTCTGAAGGGGTAGGGTGGGTGGGACTGAGCGCCAAGACGCTGGTAAGTGCTCACCCTTTGGTATCACCCCATTCACCAGGATGCAGATGCCTGCCAGCAGCAGGGAGGCCAGCTGTGCAGGCCGGCGGCCCAGGGAGTTGATGACAAGGAAGCACACGAACTTGGCAGGCAGGTCCACGGCACCGAAGATCACCTGGATAAGGTACATGCTGACCCCGAAGCCTTGCAGGTCCATGACCAGCCCGTAGTAGGCAAAGCTAGTGGCAAACCTGGTGAGGAGGGAGAGGGATGAGGGGCTGGTTAGACAGGCTTGAACAAGGTGCTCTTTCATAAATACAGTGATATGATACATGGGGTATCCTGCTTCGGGACCTAGGATCTGCTTTCGCTATTGCTTCTTCAGACACCACAACTGCATATTCAAACTGCACAGTTGAAGTATTGGGGGCAGTCCTCCAATCCTGTGCTAACCAGACACCCCAGGGAACAGGGGGGACTTTCATCTAGTTGCTAAAAATGTTTAGGGGTTCACAAAGCATAGGTTTGGGGGTAGAACCCTCTACAGAGAATAAACCTAAACTTGCCAGCAAAGAATTCTTTGGCAAGACTGTTCTTCTGACCACGCCCCACTTAACTGTCATGGGATTGCCATGGTGATGCACATGGGAGAGGCAATGGGAAAACCGCACAGGAAAGGAAGATTTGGGTTTGTAGGATATACGTGTGGGTCCTCTTCTGCCTGTGCTACTTTCCCCCCAGGCACCGCCAGAGCAGTCAAGTCTCTGCGTGGTTTTCAAAGCACACTGATCTGTCCTCACAATATAAATCCGTGGGCTCTGGAGACCATTGGTCCTAATGAGGTGGTTTGTACGGGAACGGGGCTGGTGAGTTTAGCATGGAGACTGGTCGAGCTGGAGGACCCTTATTTCTTTAGGGTCCTTACTCCTCCTCACAGCAGATGTGCTGACCCCCTGCCCCCCCCTTTTCCACCCATCGCATCCACGCCCTCCCTCAGCCTGCTGTTTGTCTTCTGTCCACCGGTGCGTCTGTCTGAGCCTACCACAGCATGGAGAGGCAGAGGAAGAGGTGGCGAAGGGTGGGGCAGCGCAGCAGCTCCATGGCTGAGGCCTGGCCTTTGCCCAGCATCAGTTCCTTCTGCAGGCTGGTCTGGAGCACCTGGCGGGACAGGCGGGACTCAGGGCCTGAGCTGCTCCCGGGGAACGCCCTTGGTCCAGCCTCTGAGTCCTGGGTCTTGGTACTGGTATTTGGGTTGGAGCTCAGGCAGCATCTAGGGACAGAGGTGCCTTACCTCTATACTCAGCTTAGCCCCCTCTTCCTGTCTCCCATTGATCCGGGCCACTCTCTGCAGGGCTTGGAGGGTGAGGTCCAGCCTTCCCGAGGAGGAGTACCAGCGGGCTGACTCAATGAAGAACCTGGGAGTGGGGATGGAGAGAGGGTGGATGTTGGCGTGGTCTCAGTTTTAGTCTTCTGGGTTAGAGGTATACAGTAGAGTTTTATTTATGTTTGGGGGCCAGGGCCCGTGCCAAGACCCCCTTAAGGATCACCATAAGGGTCACAAAGTAGTGGCCACTTTGATAATCGCTCATCCCCAACCCAGAATTTAGTTCTTGGGTTCTGAGTAGGGAAGGAGGAGTATCAGCGGGCAGGTCAAACTGTGGGGTGCGGGAGAACTGCCACCCCCCTCTGGGACTAAACCTACCCCCACAGCCTTGGCTTCAGAGTCTGTTCAACAGAAGCATTGGATTGGGGTCAGCTTTCTGTCTTGGATGAATTTTCTGGGGAGGTTTGTGCCCTGCTCTGGGAGCTGGCTTGTCCCCTGTCGTCCTGTAGGCTTCTGGGCCATTGCTTCCCACCCCAGATCCCACGTACCAGGAGTAGATGAAGGCAGCGAAAAAAGGCACAGAGACCAGAAGCTGCAGGTGGCGCCAGTGGGGCACCGCATAGGCGACACCAGCCAGGATGAACTGGCCCAGGCTGTAGACATAGCCAATCAAGGTGCCCACGTAGGCGCGGGTGTGGATGGGCATCCATTCCACATCTGGAAAGGGGTTAGAATAGAGGGGTGCAAGTAACCGGGCTGGTGGGTGGAAGGAGACTCCGCTCCTGCCCTCTCCCAACCATGTGCTTTCCCAAAGCTCCGTAGAAGATGTTTCAGTGAGGTTGGGTGCCAGGGTAGGGAGAGTGGAGACAGTGAATGGAAGTAGGAGACCCAGGGACTGCCTTCTCCACCCCCCTGCTGCTTTTTGGCTCTGCCCCCAGGGCCTGGCTACATCCCCCTTCCCTGCAGAGTTACTCTGACCACTCAGTCTGTTCTCAGCAGAAACCACTTCCCTTTCCCTCGGCCTTGGGCTGGACCCACCCTCAGTGGTCAGAGCACTGGTCTTTTTCTATCCTGAAGCATCAGTCCAGGCCGGAAGAGGACCACTACTCCGTTAAGGTCTCAAGAGGCTGGGCTAGGTTCCTGGCGGGCTTCTGACTCTGCTGCCGGGATACACTTGAATATGTACATTGACTTTGGAGCTGGAGCCTTAGGCATATCTCAGCTCCAGCTCAGGCCTAGCTAGTTCCTTTTGTCTAGAGAATTGTGAATCCCTGGATTCCCTCCTGGAATTGAGAGGTGACTTCAGGTAAATTTCTCTTCTTCTCTCCAGCTTCAGATTCATTATCTGGGAAATGTGTGTGTGTGTGTGTGTGTGTGTGTGTGTGTGTGTGTGTGTGTGTGTGTGTGATCTACTAGAGGAAGCACACTGATGGTTCATGAACACACTGTCCTCAGTCTCTTTGTTTGGTGCATATGATGCTGGCTTATCCTTGTTTAGAAATATTAGACTAGCCACAATATTAAAATAATTATGATATTTTATATTAATTTTAAAAAGTGACAGAGACCTGGGTGTGGTGGAATATGCCTGTAATTCTAGCACTCGGGAGCGGGGAGCTGAATGTCGTGAATTGTAGGCCACATGGTAAGACCCTGTATCAGAACAAAACAAATAAACAATACCAACAAAAATGGAGTAAGATCTGACTCCTTGGCTGCGAGTACAGTTGGTATCTCTAGATAGGATGTTTCCTTTAAAACAATCACATTTGTTTATTTATTCTCTCTCTCTCTCTCTCTCTCTCTCTCTCTCTCTCTCTCTCTCTCTCTCTCCCTCCCTCCCTCTCAGTGTTTATGCCATGGCAGGTGTGTGGAAGTCAGAGGACAACTGACTTGCAGCAGTTGGTCCTGGGATCAACTCAGGCCATCAGCCTTGGTGGCAAGTGTCTTTACCCACTGAGACATCTCTCCATGCCCACCTTCTTTGCTATTTAGCCCAGACTGGCCTGGAACTCATTATATAGCTCCATCTGGCTTCATACTTTGGACAGTCCTCCCACCTCTGCCTCCTGATTGTGGGCACATGCCACCATGCCTGGCCTATCTCATGGCCTTTGGATCTCTTTTGGATACAGTCTTCACTTCTCCTAAGGTCTCCTGTACCTGGCTTGTCTTGGTCACTCTGACCACAAGTCTGCAGTCTTACTAATAAGTAAGAGTCGAGATGGAGCGAGCTGGGGAAGGCAGGGTGGTGTTGACTGGAAATGCTGATCTAAGGGAGGTATTGGCTTGAGGGTGGCAGGGTGGGGGTGGGAGAGCTCAGGAGGGGACACCTTCAGGAGGAGGCTGGCAGGATTGGGTGGTGAGAGGGGACATAGGTGAGCAGTCCTCACTTAGTGTCATGCAGTTGATTGCAATGCTAGCCAAAGACATGCCCGAGAGGAGCCGGAAAATGCAGTAGACGGTGTAGTTGGGTGCATAGGCTGCACAGGTTCCTGACACAGCTGTCTGCAGGTAGTTCAAGATCAGAACCTTCCGACGGCCCAGCCTGTGGGGGAGGGAAGACCTGGGTCAGGGGCCTGAGGACTGCGAGGGTTGGGGGGGGCGGGGGGGGGGCAGGGCCGAGCTACACAGGAGAGGCCCCGGGCTGCAGTCCTCTGAGGATCTAAGAAGAATCCTGAGTCTTGCACTTAAACCAGCCACCCCTGCCTTGAATCCAGCCAGGGGCCCCCCCGATCCCAGCTTAGCCCAGCTCTTTGGCTTACCCAGGACTGACCTGTCTGCCAGGTAGCCAAACATCATGGCCCCCAGCAGCACTCCCACCATGTACAGGGACTGGGCCAGCTGGCGGAAGGCCCGGTGAGAGCACACGAGGTTCCACTGTGGGGAGAGGTAAGCCAGAGTGGGCCAGAGAAGAGCCCAGACGCAGGGAAGGCCCCCTCAGCCTCCTCCAGGAAGGTCCTCAGGGACCCATGCCTCCCTTTCAGTCATACTTTGTTCTGCTGTTTGTCTCACTGTTCCCGGGAGCTAAGTACATTTAAAGCACTCAGCCGCTCCCACATCCACCTTCCACAGATGCCACCCTCTTGAATGCTTTTATCGATCTCATCTCCAGATCTTGGCCCCCCGGGGAACGTGTGTGTGTGTGTGTGTGTGTGTGTGTGTGTGTGTGTGTGAGCACGCACGCGCCTGTGTCTCTGTCTGACCATCTGTCTGAGAGGTGAAGTGGTGTCACATGGAGAGGGAGCCCCAAATCCTTACCTCAGTTACAATGGTTGAAGGGAAGGTGCTGTTGTCATAGACCCAGCCGTCAATGCAGGACTCTGTAACTCCGGTGCCATTGGCCTCTGTGCCATTGTGAAAGGGTGGTACCCACTGTGGGGAAGTAAAACGGAGGCAAGACTCGGGTCGTCCCTCCTTGTCCAGGGGCAGCCAGGCCTCCAGACCTCCATCTTTGCTGAGGTTGGCATTGGCAGGTGGGCGGCAGTGGTGAGTGGGGATGGCAGCAGTGAAGTTCTGCAAGGTGTTGTGGGAAGCCATCAGCAGCAGGGGAGCAACCACCAGGGTGACCTGGATCAGCTGGAAGCGTCCGACGCCCCCCACCTGCTTCAGGAGGTCATTGAAGGCCATGGGGCTGGGCCAGGCCGAGCGGTCAGAGACTGAAGACCTCCAGTCCTAGGACCTCTGTCTGCCTGCCTGCTGCCCTTTGCCTGAGGAGTGGGGCTCTTGCTGCCTTTGCAGCTGAGTGGCTCCTGGAGCTGGAACTGAGCCGGCTCTGTGGCGGGACAGCGAGCTGGTGGACCGCCCCTCCTTTCTCTCTCCCCTGGTTCTGGCCCTCCCTTGCCCTCGCCTCTTTTCTTCACTTCGGGGGTCTGGACAGCTCAGCTTTCAGGGTCTGCTGGAGCCCTGACTCTTATGCAGGCAGCTTTTAATCTTTGGCCTGAAGACAATGAGTTAAAGTGTGACTTGGTGTCAGGAGGATTAACCCTGTGAGTATCCCTTGTGTCAGTGGAATTTTTCCAAGTGGGTGTAAAGGGCAGGAGGGGATGGTTGAGACTGAGAGTGGAGAGTGGATTCACTGGGGGCAGCCATCTGGGCACCTGGATGCAGAAGGGGACAAGATGGGAACTTCTGTCCTCTCTCTGTTGAGGAGTCTGGGCTCTGGGAAATGTGGTGGCTGGCCTCCTGATGGGTTTCTGTGGACATCAAAGTCTGTCTTCAGGAATAACACCAGAGACAATATGGCAAGTCCCGTTGAACCTGAACTTCCGATCGATGATTACTTTTTTAAAAGTGTAGCCCTAATATTGCATAGACCATGTTTCTATCCAGAATTATGTGTTAGTTTGAAATGCAGATCTGACTGGGAATCTTATATTCTTATTTGCGAAGTTGAGTAACCCTGGTCTTTGGCCTTCCAAGGACAGCTCACGTCTTGTAGGACCACAGCCTTGTGCAACTGGAAGAAACAGCGGTGGTCAAAGGTTGCTCTTGAAGTCACGGGGACCAAGGGCAAAATCAGACAAAATGGGAATCATTCTCCTGGGACCTTAGTTTTCACATTCTTGATTCTTCTTTTTTATTTGTTTTTAAAGACAGGGTCTCACATAGCTTGGGGTAGCCTCCGGGTCGGTATGTAGCCAAGGCTGGTCTTGAATGACTCCTCCTGGCTCCACCTCCCAAGTGTTGGGATTTCAAACATATACCACCACACTGTTTACCTTAATTTTTTCTATTTTTGAGACAGGGTTTCTCTGTGTAACTCTGGCTGTCCTGGAACTCGCTCTGTAGACCAGGCTGGCCTTGAACTCAGAGATCCACCTACCTCTGCCTCCTGAGTACTGGGATTAAAGGCATGTGCCACCACAGCCTGCCAACTTAACTAACTAACTAACTAACTAACTAACTATTATTATTATTATTATTATTATTATTATTATTATTATTATTATTTATGTGTGTAGCCATCTCACTGGCCCCCATTTCCTCATTTAATTGTCTTGATTCAAATTTTCCCATTGCTGTGTTTTTATTTCTAAAAAAAATCTTACTTTATTTCATATGTATGGATGTTTTGCCTGCATGTATATCTGTGCACCGTATTCATGTCTGGTACCCACAGAGGGTGTCAGATTCCTTGGAACTGTCATTACAGACAGTTGTGAGCCACTCTGTAGGTGCTGGGAATTGAACCAGGGTCCTGTGTAAGAACAGACAGTGCTCTTAACCATTAAGCCACTTCTCTATCCACCTCTTCTATTTTTTTTTTAAACAATGAGCATGAACCTATCTTATTTTTAGCTGCAAGTCCAGCTAAATTGACTTGAATTCCTCCAACAGTTTTTGGCTCCTGAGCCTCAGTTACTCACAATCTGAGGCAGTGTTGAACACTAACTGGATGTCTCTGTTGGATCCGATTGCTTGGATCACAGACTGGGCAGGTTGCTACTCTATGGCTTTGATTTGCAAGGTGCATCTGGTGTAGAAGAACAATGAACTCCAGAGTCAGTCCTCTTGCCATATTCTCAGGCTGTGTGACCAGGAACAAGTTATTAAACTCCTGTGTACCTAGTGCCCTTGCTTTCAAGGTAGGGAGGTTTTAATGTCCCCTTTATTTTGTTCCTGGAGGGTAAAATGAGTCAATACAGGTCAAGAGTTTAGCCTTTATCCAAGAATAGTGGTTTGTGCCTGTAGTCCCAGCTCCTGGGAAACCTGAGGCAGGGGGCTCAAGCTCAGGAGTTCAAAACCAGCTTGAGCAGGAGGATAGTAGTTCAAGCTTAGTCCTGGCTACATAGTAAGTTTGATGGCCCTCTGGGCTACATGAGACACTGTTGTTTTTTTTTTCCCTCAAGACAAGGTTCTTCTGTGTAGCCCTGGCTGTCCTGGAACTCACTCTGTAGACCAGGCTGGCCTTAAACTCACAGAGCTCCTCCTGTGTCTGCCTTTCAAGTGCTGGGATTAAAGGAGTGTGCCACCACTACCTGACTATGAGACCCTGTCTTAAAGAACCTCCCACCAGAAAAAAAAGGCCAGATACTATGCTACGCAAACTGCACTTGTATGCATTCAATTGGGAGGGTGTTTATTGTCTGCTTAAGTCCTCAGGCACATGAGGCACAGGACTAGGATCTTAGCTTCAAAGCTGGCTTCCTCCTCTTCCTCCAACGGGGTCTTATTATACATGCCAGGCTAGTTTCAAACTCATGGTTCTCTGATCTCAGCCTCCCAAGTTCTGGGATTATAGGCCTGGAGCCACGATGGCTAAAAGCTGAACCCTTCACAGTGGCTGTAGAGGTGTTCACTGCCAAGCTAAAGGGGTTTTGGAGATGAACCAACTTCATATGTAGAGAAGAGGCCCAGAGGAGGCTGTAATTCATCCCAGCCTCCCCCTCCCAGCATGTGTTGATTCTAGCTTGGGCTCAATGGGTGTCCAGATGCCTGATACATTCTCCAGGCCAAGGTATATAAGAACCTGTGGCCTGGGGAGGCCAGGACAGCTGGACAAACAGCTTAGAGGCTGTGGGGTCAGTTCCCTGCCAAGACTTAGGGCTCTTGTAGGGAAGTAGGTGGAGTGTTGAGGGTAGTGGGGTGACCTCTTGCAAGCACCCTCGCTCTCCAAGCTTGTGCTTAATTCTGCCCTGGGTAAGAACTTCTTTCTTAGCTCCTGTCTTAGTATTGTTGTGATGAAATACCATGAGCAAAGCAGATTGGGGAAGAAAGGATTGATTTGCTTTATACTTCCACATCATAGTCCATCACTGAAGGAAATCAGGACGGAAATTCAAACAGGGCAGGAACCTGGAAGCAGGGTTGATGCAGAGGCCATGGAGGGGTGATACTGACTTGCTCCTCATGGCTTATTCATTCTGCTTTCTTATAGCACCCAGAACCAGTCCAGGGGTGGCACTATCCACAGTGGGCTGGGTCCTTACCAGTAACTAAGAAAATGCCCTACAGGCTTGTGTACAACCCCATCTTATGGAGGCATTTTCTTTTCTTTTTTCCTGCTTTTTATTTTCTTCTTTCTTTATTGAGAATTTTTTTATTCATTTTACGTACCAATCACAGATCCCCCTCTTCCCTCCTCCCACTCCTCCAGCCTTCCCCCTCTCAGCTTCCCCCCCATTCAGAGGCATTTTCTTAATAGAGATTCCCTCCTCTTGGATGACCACAGCCTGTGTCAAGTTGACATAAAACTAGCCAGTGCAGCTCCTGACAAATCCCAAGCCTGGTGGAGTCTATAAAAGGCTCCACTGGAGACTTCACGAACTGAACGGTGGCAGGATCCCAGGGTTTTCAGATCTGGGGATGGTCCCTTGTTGACTTTGTGGGTCACTGAAAATTCAGGATGGGATGCCTCTGTGCTAAATGGATCATTGGCTTTTAAATTCTGGCTGTGCTCAGTGGGAGAGTGTCAGCTTTGGAGATCTGGATACAGGCAGAAACGTATTTCTCTTTTCAGAACCACAAACCACTGGAACTGAGAGCCATCACTCAGCTGGAAACAACTTGTGATACGGATAAGAAGACTGAGGCCCGGACAGGACCAGTGTCGCCCATGATCACACTGCAAGTCTCAGACTCCACGCCTTTGACTCCTTTGTTCTCTGTGCTGTGTGAGTTGCTGTCACATAGGTTAGATTTTCTGGGCTAAGTGCTGACTTGGTGTAACTGTAGTCTGTTAAGTCAATGGGATTCAAAGTGTGGGACTACATGTGATTTTTATTACTTTGTGACACCTTTCAAATAAATAATTTACAGATCAAAGAAGACAGTTTGGCTCAGATCACGTTCTGGAAGCATGGGGTTGAAATGACCTGGAGAGTTCAGAAGACTCCAGCTGCCTACCAGCATCTAAGCCGGAAATTTCAGAACCAAAGTGACCCTTGTGCCTTGTTCCTGGCTACCCCAACCAGCAGGCCGTATAAACCCATCCAAAACCACTGTTTAAAAGCTGGATCTACGCTGGGGATGTATCTCATTGATAAAGTACCCATATAGCATGCAGAAAGCTCTGGATTTGATTCCTAGAACCACATAACACAGGGCATCGTGACACACAAGTAATCCTAGCACTAAGGAGGTGGGAGCTGGAGATCAGAAGTTCAAGGTCATCCTCAGCTGGCTGTTCAGCACATCAGAGGCCAAACTGAGCTACATGAGACCCTGTCTCAATAAAATAGCAAAACCTCACAAACTAGATATGAGATCACTCACCCACGAGGTGACCCAGGGGGTGCTCCATATTGGGTGGCAATTCACTGAGTTAGTAGTTGTCCCTGCTCGGGTCCAGAGAGAGGGGAATAGAGGAAGCAGGGAGGGCTGAGGAACAGCAGCACTGGAGAGGAGGAGGAATTGGGTTTGGTGTTTCTCTGTGAATCCTGACGGCAGCAACAGAAAATCCTTTCTGGGCATTTGCCTTTCCCTCACCACGTGTCCGTAAGACACACTCTGGAGCAGTGCAGAAACGGTCCTGGTTAGGACATCCCAGGAGCCGTCCTGACTTCTGGATCACTGATGGGTGGGGAGAAGGTAGAGGCCAGTGATTCACGCTGAGCCCAGTTCTTCTCTGTCTGGTGGAGATCTAGTGAAACCAAGGGAGGCACTGCTGGCTCGACTGTCAGCTGATCTGAGGCAACAAGGTGGAAGCCCCATCAGTAGCCATCAAGTTCGAAGGCCTGATAGCCTCACTGGAAAAGTCAGGTCTCCATGGCCAGTGTACCAGCCCCAAATTATCTAAAGGTTGGCAAACGAGACTCCTGCATCCAAACCAAGAGTAAATACAGTTTCCCATGAGACTGGATGACAGGCTGGTGTGGGTGGGGCTTGGAGCAGGTAGCAGAGGGGTCCTTCTGCCTTTTACTCCCTCTCCTCCCAGCTCTTGCTTTCTTTCCCAGACTTACTCTTCCACTTCCTATTTTCTTGACTATCCTCCCCAGTAAGCCACTTTATATCAAATCCTTGTCTTGGGGTCTGCTTCTGGGGAAATCTACACCAAGATGCAACCGAGACCATGATTCATTGTACAACCAGTAGGGTACCTAACCCAGGCTTTAGAGCCTCAGAAGTCCTTTGGGAGGAAATTGCACAAGTTGAGACCCCCAAGATGAGTTGTGGATGAGCCAAATGCAGTGGGAATCAGACAGGGAAAATTCAAGTGCTGAGTGAAAGGCTGGAGCAGTTTTTGAGCAGAAAGAAACTGAGTAAGGCTGGATTTCAGCCTGTAAAAGTGGAATGTTAAAAACAAATTGCTTAGGCAGGTTGGGGCCTGATTCTGGCAGATCTTGTAAGAAGGTTGAAGTTCTATCCCCATGAAAAATCACTGAAAGATGGAGGAAGGGTGCAATATAATTCTTTTAATATTTATTAAGCACCCTCTCAGATCTTTAAATACATACTTAAGAGTGGTCATTAGCTCTGTGCTTGATAATGAGAATTCATAGAGTGTGTTGGCGTTGTCCTATGTGGTCACCAGTAGCCACTGTGGAGCACTTGAATGGAGTTGATCCAAGCTGAGTGTTCTGGTTCACTTTTTGTCAGCTTAACACAAGTTAGGAGGAGGGAACCTTAATTGAGAAAATATCTCCATAAGACTAGCCTGTAGGCAAACTTGTGGGGTGTTTTCATGATTAATTATTGATGTGGGAGGGTCCAGCCCACTGTGGGTGGGGCCACCTCTGAGCTGGTGGTCCTAGGTTCTATAAGAAAGCAGGCTGAGAAAGACAGGAAGAATAAGCCAGTAAGCAGTGTTCCTCCATAGCCTCTGCTTCAGTTCCTGCCTTGAGTTCTTGTCCTGATTTCCCACAGTGATGAAGTGTGACTTGAAAATTATAAGATGAAATAAACCTTTTCCTCCCTGAGTTGCTTTTGGTCATGGTGTTTTACCACAGCAGTAAAAAGCCTAACAAAGGCAGGGTCTCATGTAGGGTACTGGAACTATTTGATTAGCAGGTCTTGGGAATACAGACCCTTGGAGAAGGGTGAAGTGCTCCTCATCTTGATGTTTCCCTTAGCTCTGAAGCAACAGTGCCCAGTGAGTGTGGCTCAAAACCTCGAACTGAGAGCCCACATAACACCTTTTAAGGTATTTTGTCATGGTGATAGAAAGCTGACTAACACGGATAGAAATAACCGGAGGGAACCAGCTTTGTGGGGACACTATAAGAAGGTTCTCACCAGACACTGAATGCCAATACCTTGACCTTGGTTGGACTTCCCAGCCTCCAGAGCTACAAGCAATACATTTCTATTGTTTAGACAATCCAGCCTGTGGTTGTCTGTTACAGCTGCACAGACTAGAATACCTGTACGTGTTCCACAGTAGCCCAGCTTGCACGCAGCTGAGTGCCCATAGCTGTATGTTTGCGTAGTACAGATGGACATGTGTGTGCTCACATGTCCACATGGTGGCCAGCCCTCTTTCCCATCTCCTTTCCCAAGCAGCATGGCCTGAGTTCTTCATTGTGGTTTATTGAAATTTCCCACCAAGGAAAGAATTTGGGGGAGGAAAGAACTACCTGCTAGAGGATCTCAAGGGAAATGGAGATGGGACAATGGAGGAAAGTGGCCAATACAGAAGGGGCAGATGGAAGGGCAGGCCCTGGGTTGCAGGGAGGATGAGTGCAGGGGTGAGTATGGGAAGCCTTGTGGCCAGAGCTTTGAACAGGTGAGGTCTGGGTTGTGGGCTACGGTGGAGGAGGTGATGGTGGAGATACCTTGACTGAACTCTCAGAAGTCTTTGTTCTAAGAGTATGGGCCCACCCAGGGTCTCCCCCAAGCCCCAAGGTGCTTGAGGAGCCCTGGAAGGGTCCTGCTTGGGATCAGTCTCTGGAGGGCAGGAAAGAAGATTCTGTTCTCAGCTTGGGTCCGACCCACCAGTCTTCAGAGGGATTGTCTGGGATGCCGTTTCTGGCTCTGGCTCCTGCTTTGCTTTCTTGACTTGCTGGTGCCTAGAGACATAGAGCTTAGGAGAAGCCTGGAGCTCTGGCCTGTTTGCTCAAAGGGGGTCCTGGGGGCCAGAGGCAGAGAACTCACCAGTCTTGAATGTCCTCGATAGTCTCGGGCAAGGGCCGGTTGAGGGTCTCAAGCAGGAAGAAGGCAGCGCTGCCTCCCAACAGGGCCATGGTCCCAAAGATGACATTAGGGATGAAGGGCTGCACTTCACCCGTGATTTTCACCAGTGGAGCTATCATACTTCCCACTCGAGCCCACACGTTACTAACACCCATACCTGTTTGCCTGGGAGGGTTCAGAGAAGGGATTGGCAGCCTGAACAGAGGGCTTTTAAAGGACAGTCCTGGGACCCCTGGGTAGAGGACGGGAGGAGGATGCTACAGTTCCATCTGTTAGCCCCTGACCCCGGTGCATCGCCTACCTGAGGACTGTGGGGTAGAGTTCACTCGTGTAGAGGAAGAGGCAGCTGAAGGAGCCAGACAGGCATCCTTTCCCAAATACAGCCAGTGTTGTTCTCACGAGCGGCATTTCTGCATGGGAAGGGGTTGGAGGATGGGCCTCGGTGTTCATGAGCACCCGAATGTTTTCACTCCTTAGCAGACTTTGTCTCCCTTTGTGCTTGGTTGCCCGGAAGTTCATATGAAAAGGTGAGTAATAACCCATCTGCTACTCCTAATGCTTTTTCATGTTGGCCAATTGGATTGTTTTCTAGAAGAGTAACCTGAGCCCCACAAAAAGTGGGGATCTGTTTAAGGCCAGCACAGTGAATTGGAGGAGGGCTAACAAAGCTGGAATTCACTTTCCAGCCTGTATCAGATTCTTCCAAAAGGTCCTAGGGTAGCCTCAACCTCTCACCTGAAGACACAAAGATGAGGGCCAAGATGGCCCCTCCTGCCAGGAGCAGGAGGAAGCCTTGGGTGATGCGCCGGCCTAGATAACTTATGGAGAGGATGGTGATGAATTTGGCTGGGATATCGACCCCACCAAAGATGACCTGGAGTATGTAGATGTTGACTCCAAATTCTTCTACCCCCATAGCCAAACTGTAGTAGGCAAAACCAGTAGAAAACCTGAGAGACAGAGAGGCATTGGTCAGCATCTGTAGCCAAGCTAAGATCTCTTCCCATAGCTGTCCATGGGTTACCAGGATGATAAATAGTTTTGCTTATTGTGTTATCTATAGCTGATTGATACAGTCTGCTTGAGTACAGTTGAGTTTTATGAGGTTGTGTCTGAAGTCAAGGAAAAGTGCTGGGATTCATTGGTCATGTCTTGCATGGTCATGGTCTAGGGTGTTCATGGCGAAGGTGCCCAAGATTGGCTCCATAGAATAACATGACTGGAGGGACTCTCAGAGACTAGAGGAGGCAGGAAATGATCTGTTTTTGTTCAGTAGAAGTGGAACATCCAGAGAGGCAGAGGTGAAAGTCAAGCTGTGAACCGTGTGAACATAATTCTTCCTCCTCTCTCAGAATTACGGCAAAGTGTGGGACAAATTTGATCCTGGGGAAGACTGGGATGGAAAATGGTCTCACAACTAGGTCACAAAAGGACTTGGGGGACGATGTAGGATCAGTCAGAAGAGGAAATTTGGGAGATACATAATTGCTTCCTGAAAGTCTGCAGCCTGCAGGGTCAGCTCTGCTCTGTGTGGCTCCAGAGGGCAAGGCTAGGCTTCAGGGGCAGAGAGGCAGACTGTGGAGAAAGTTCTGTCATCAGGAGGTGCACTGAAGGGTCTGGAGCACCTGCCCTGTGTGGGGCAGTGCGACCTCAGAGGGAAGCAGACACTCTCAGCTGAATATGGGACTTCTGGGATGGAAGCTGGGCTTGGTGGCCCTAGGAGGTATTCCTTTGATTTCTCTTGAATGGTACCCTAGGCTTTGCCCTGATGGACACCTCCTTGTTCATCACCCCTGTGCAGGGTGTGGGTAGGGTGAGGTGGGCAGGTTACCAGGCCAGGGAGAGACAGAAGGTCACACGGCGCAGGATGGATACCCGGAGCAAGTCAGATAAGCCGTATTTGACCTTGGCTGAGGTGATGTCCTTCTGCAGGT